GAGTGCTCGCCTTGAGCTGAAGAGTTTGGGGACAGTGCCTAGGTCTAGAGTTCCCCATGACCAACAACAACAACAAAAAAGACATTTGTTGGGCCAGATGTGATCCTTGGGCCACAATTTATTTTTCCTTGACCTACGTGAATGACACTTTTTGTGCAGAGTGTGAATAAGGTCTCCTGTAGTATATTCGAAAAAATTTTGAGAAAAATAAATATGCAATTTAGTCATCTTTGTATGACCTACCCTACCTCCCACAGCATCTGGTTCAGTGCTTTCTACATCAATATTTGTAAACCATCATTTTTTAATTTTCTGAATAAAATATGTCTGAAAATATAGTTAGGTGGGTGGTGAATGCTTGTAATCCCAGCTCTTGAGATCCTTCTCCAGAAGCAGGATTGCTAGTTGCAGGCTAGTCTGGGCAACACAGTAGTGAGACCCTATATTACAAGTCAAATATATGTATATGCTTATGTATAAACATATGTATATGTATAATTGTGTGTGTGTGTGTGTGTGTGTGTGTGTGTGTGTGTGTGTGTTGGTCCTGGGGCATGAACTCAGCCTGGGTGCTGTCCCTGAACTTTTATGCTCAAGGCTAGTACTCTACCACTTGAACCATAGCTCCTCTTCTGGCTCTTCTGGTGGTTAACTGGAGATAAGAATTTCACAGATTTTCCTGACTAGGCTGGCTTTGAACCACATTCCTCAGATCTCAACCTCCTGAGTAGCTAGGATTATAGGCATAGGCCACCAGTGCCCATTTTACTCAGTGAATAATAACCGCATTTTGAGAGCTTAATAACCATTGAAAACTATCTAGCAAGTTTATAGTAAAGTAGTTCCAGTAGGGATCATGTAAGCCCAATAATCATTAAAAAATGTGACAGGAAAATGTGTCAGCTAAAAAAAAATCTAAGGATTAGCAGGCAAAAGGAGAGAACCTGACATTAGAGTTGGATCAAAGTAACAAAAAGTAATTTCAAACCTGAGCGACCAAAACCCAGGGACATCCCATGTGAATAATGCATTCAATGCCCACATTTCAATGCTAGCAAGATGTTCATGATTTGGAAGGAACTCAAAGACTAACCCAAATAATTAAAAGACTGAATGGATTCACTCATGAATAGCTATAAAAGAAGCCAAATATGTGCTTGGCTTGCTAATGAACAAAATGAGATGAAGGAAAAGTTTACAATTTGCTGAAGTCTGTAAACACCAGGAAGTAGAAGAATGATGGTTGGGTCTATTGGACTCAGATCTTATATGGAAATATCTCAGGCACTGATAGATTCTTCTTATTTTGGGGTCTTAAAACAGTCATAGCCTATCTGAATAATATATAACTGAGGATGCTGTGATTGGTAATATTCTATTATTGTAGGAGTCAGGATTTCTTCAAAAGAGCAAGTGTAAGAAAAATACTGTTTATTAAATAAAAAACTTAAGAATGTTAGTGTTCTGAGAGAATTAAAGACTGTTAGTCCACTTTTAAAAGAATCAAATATATGTAACTGTAGGTAACGGTATATAGTTTAGAATTATTTAAATGAAAGCACAAAGATGCAAAAATAGCTAAATATTTCTTTCCTTCCCATTTTTCTTTAATCATTCATTCAATCATGACACATACATAATTCTTACCCACTATTTTTAAGGTCCTAACTTAATGACACAAAGAGTGAAACTACCCAGGACTAATACTCAAAACTCAACAGAAAGTAAAAACTCTACAAGCTTTTGTGGATAGGATCAGGGAAGCAAGTGGTCTAAGAAGGAACTGAACATTTCAAGTGAGACTGAGAGAACTATTACGAAAATAATCTCCAATCCACATTGAAGATAGAGGGAAGCTTGAAGAGGATTCCTAAGAAAGCTGGTATTTGTGCCAAGATCTGAGAGGTTGTGAGGAGATAGATAATCCAAGAAAAATCGGAATAAGAACCCCGGGTAGAGGGCTAGGAAGTGGCTCAGTGGCAGAGTGCTTGCCTTGCATGCATGAGGCCCTGTGTTCGATTATTCAGCACCAGAAGTGGTACTGTGGCTCAAGTGGTAATGTGCTACCCTTGAGCTGTAGAGCTGAGGGACAGCATCCAGGCCCAGAGTTTAGGCCCCATGACCAACCAAAAAAAAAAAAAAAAACCAGAAACCGTAGCCGGGCACCAGTGGCTCAAGCCACCTAACTTCTCAGGAGACTAAGAACTGCGGATAGCAGTTGGAAGCCAGCCCAAGCAGAAAGGTCTCCATGAGATTCTTATGTCCAATTAACCAATGAAAAACTAGAAGTGGCACTGTGGTTCAAGTGGTAGAGGGTGTGCCTTGAGTGCAAAGAAGCTCAGGGATGGGGCCCAGGCCCTGGGTTCAAGCCCTACAACTGACAAAAAAAAAAAAGAAAAAGAAAAGAAAGCAAGAGAGATTTTCAAAGGTGAACCAATTTATCACAATGTACCTGAGATTGGCAAGTAGTTCAGTGTGTCTTAGAGTATAAGACAAGTGGTGATCTTAAAAATATAAACTATAATATATTAAAATTATAAGTTATATTTATTTTCCTTCTTAATTTTTATTTCATCTGAGATGCTTCCACAGTAAAAATCACACCTTTATGTAGCCAAATAATTACAAACATTTATATACCATACCTATTCTGTACTTGACACTATTCTAAGCTCTTTACATACATTAATTGATTTTATCCACATTACAACTTCATGAGGAAGGTACTATGATTATTCCTATTTTAGAGCTGAGGAATGCAAACAGAGAGGTTAAATCATCAAGGGAATTTAGAGAGACAAGAAATAGCAAAGCAGCATCCCCTCCCCCCCCACCCCATTCTCTGGTGTGTGTGCCACAGCTACACTTCTACCTTTTTCCTGTTTAAGTGGAAGTAAGAGTCTCATTGACTTTCCTGCATAGGCTGGCTTTGAACCTCAGACCTCAGATCTCAGGCTCCTGACTAGCTAAGGATTACAGATGTGAGCCACTGGCACCCAGCCAAAGCATCATTTCTTACTTGGGTGATATCACTCCAAATTCTGCTTCTATAAACTCTCTCACACTGCTAACTTTCAAAGAGAAGAACTTATTTTTGTATCATGGATTCCAATAATTCATCTAAAAATAAATCTAATAAATAAGGCAGAGAGAATGTCAGATATTGCTCAGAACAGAAAAATTGATAGTCACAAAAAATGAAATAGAAATAACCTAAACACCCCATAACATGAAATTATTAACTATAACATACACGATTATGCAAGCATTGGAATTTATGATTTAGGAGGAAATAAAATGACATGTGAAATACCATAAAAATCAAAGCGAAGTGCAGAATACAAATTACATGATTATTAGTGAGGGTTTTTTTGCTTGTGGTTTGTTACTTTTATTGTTGTTTTGAGAGAGGGGCCTCATTATATAGTCCAGGTTGGCCTTAAATTCATGATTCTCCTGCTTCAGCCTCCCACTAGGATTACAAATGCATACCACCACACCTTGCCCCACAAATGGTATCCTAGTAGTGTATTTATGTATATGCTTGGAAAAACACACTAAGACAATTTTGCCAGGCACCGGTGGCTCAAGCCTGTAATCCTAGCTAATAAGGAGGCTGAGATCTGAGGATCACCCTTCAAAGCCAGCCCGGGCAGGAAAGTCCGTGACACTCTTCTCTCCAATAACCACCAGAAACCCATAAGTGGTGCTGTGGCTCAAGTGGTAGAGAGCTAGCCTTGAGCTGAAGAGCTGAGGGACAGCACCCAAGCCCAGAGTTCAAGCCCCATGACTGAAAAAAAAGTTTCAATTTCAATCTTAGTTCAGCCAATTTTTAGCTTTATATCCTTGGATAGTAACCCCTCTTTACTCATTTCTTCCTCAGTAAGTGGGTAATACAGTTGTTGTAAGGGTTAAAAGTTAATACATATATAATCATTCAAATGCTGGCTGACAAGCATTTAGATGACAACTATAGAAAACTTAGAACTGAAGAGGGCACTCACGGTTTAAGTGCCCTTTGGAAACTGGGGATCCCATGATTCAACTTTGTCCATTTATTTTCTCCCTTAACCTTAAACAATAATTGGGAGTTGAATGAGATTTGGACACAAGTAGGGCAGTAAAGGACACCCCTGCCCCCCCCAACTCCTTGTTCTGTCTCTCTTAAATGTAATCATCTAGGTGGAACTGATAAAATACTTTATATTATCTAATTATAATACTCTCAACCCTCTGACTGGCCTCTAATATTGGTACATACATATGAAGTCCAATGTGATCCTGAAGACAAAATCCCAGGGCCTCATGCATATGTGATGTTGTGATTCATGTATATATTGAATAATGAACAACTCAGGGTAATTAACTCAACCATTAGCTTACACTTTCATTATTTCCCTATGATAAGTACATTAAAATCCTACCTTCTATTTTGAGATATGCAATGCATTATTGTTAATTTTACTTACCCTTCTGTACTGTAGAAGACTGGAATTTATTCCCCTAATTGTAACATGTACCCATTGACCACCTCACCACATCTCCCCTACTAGCTCAGTATCTGGCAACCAGTATTCTACTTTGAACTTCTAAGAAATCATTTTTGAAATTCTGCATGTAAGTGAAATCATGTAGTATTTTTCTTTCTGTGCTTGATCTATTTCATTGAACATAATATCTTTCACATCCCTGTTGATACAAATAACAGAATTCCATTCATTCCATGGCTAAATAGTATTCCATTGTGTATACAGACCACAATTTTTAAGAGGTTCTCTGCTGACAGACATTTAAGTGGTTTATTGTAGTGCTATTCACAGTAGCTTATGCACTGTCTTAAGGAAGTACTAGAAAATACTAAGGAAATGAGGATATTTTCTCTCTCCTTCCCTCCCTCCCTCCCTCCCTCCTTCTCTCCCCCCTCCCTCCCTCCCTCCCCCCTTACACCATTAGAAATCTGCTCTCCTTGAAAGTTTTCATCTCTTTCCTCTCTTTCTCAGGTCTCCAACGCAAAGCTATTGATATCTGGATGGCAGTGTGCCTTCTGTTTGTGTTTGCTGCCTTACTGGAATATGCAGCAGTGAACTTTGTCTCAAGGCAACACAAGGAGTTCCTGCGCCTCCGAAGACGACAGAAGAGGCAGAATAAGGTATGTTTGGCTCTCAGGACAAAACCATGTATAGTTTGGAGCACTTAAGCATGCAGTATAATTCAGAAAACAGAATATCCAATGAGCAAGAACCTGAGAGTAATTTTTGTCTTAATATACTTAATCACTACTCAGACCTTTAAAACATTGGACAATATTTTAAGATTTAATAAACAAAAACACAAGGCATGCAGTTCAACTCAAAATTCAAGACAATGACAATTTTAGTCCCAAATACTGTAGGTCATGTACTTACACTAACATTATTTGTTATCTGAAATTCAAATTTTCCTATCCTCTGTATTTTATCAGGCAACTATAATTGCTCATATAGACTCAACATGAAAGTTCATTTAAAACCCTGGCCATAATTAGTATTAATACTTTGTGTATATGTGATTATGTGTACACATAACTGATTTGTCTTTTCCACCAGTTGCTCTGGTTTTAGTGGCCTATACATGTAGATTACAACTTGATCAACTCACTAGACTGATCTCATTTTCTTGACTTAAACTTTAACGGAGAAATATCAGTTTTATACTATTCAAAAGCTGTGGTTTGAAATACACAGCTCAAGATCTCCATTTAAGTGATTCCCAAACTTACCTGCACATAACAATTACCTAGAGATTTTGTAAACACTGAAATATAACCACACTAATTAAATCCCAGTTTCAGGATGGGGTAAAATCATCAGTATTTCTGAAGCTCTCCAGGAAATTCATGTTTGGAAAGCACTGCTCTCTGGTTTCTAACTCAGTCTCATACAGTATGCCAGAAATCTGGCACCTGTTTTCCATTTCAGACTCTGGGAAAGAAACATGCGTTTTGATATAGAGAATGCTACCTCCTATAGTAATATTACTAGAAGGCCACACCAAAACCTGTTCCTCAAAAAACTGGAGAAGGTAGAGTGGACCCAAATCAAAAAGGTTTCACTGTCAATCTTAATGTTTCCAAACACCTACACTCAGTAAAACTGAGTGTTTTTAGTTAGACATAGCTTACCTGGCTTTATATGGATATGGTCTCACCTAATACTACCAATTTTTTTTTCTTAGAGTACCATGGAAAAGGAGAAATATATCCTGTTGCTGTGTCTCTTACTCAAACTAAAAAAAAATACATAGACACATCTTTCTGCTACCTAACATGGGGTCATTTATGCCACCTGGGAAATATTGTAAGATTCTGATATTTCAGTACATAAACTGGACATAGTTTGAATAATGCACAAAGCAACCACCTTGGTCAATGAGTGGTTTAAATCATTCAGCAACCTCTTCTAAGCTCAAATGCTGCCCAAATTTCCCTCAACTTTACCTTCAATAAGTCATCTGAGACTCTTGTGGAATAGTCATCCCTCGCTATATCGCAGTTCACTTATTCCGGTTTCATTTTATTCGGGGCTAAAAATAATACATCGAGGGGGCTGAGAAGGTGGCTCAGTGGTAGAGCGCTTGCCTTGCATGCATGGGGCCCTGGGTTCGATTCCTCAGCACCACATAAGCAAAAAGAAAAAAGCCGGAAGTGGCGCTGTAGCTCAAGTGGTAGAGCGCTAGCCTTGAGCTAAAGAGCTGAGGGACAGTGCCCAGGCCCAGAGTTCAGGCCCCACGACCGGACCCCCCCCAAAAAAAACATCATAAATAGTGATCCCTCACCTATCTCAGAAGTTCTGTTCTACAGGCCCCCGCGATTGGTGAAAATCCACGATGTAGCAAAACTGTGATACAGCGAGGGACGACAATCTAACGCTGCTACTTCACGAATTTTCACCTATGGTGGGGGTCTCTGGAACCTAACTACCATGCTAGGTGAGAGATCATGTAATATTAATTCTCAGTCAACTCCCCTAGAGGCACTGATTCATAAAATTTGGGCCAGAACACAAGAATATAAATGTTTAACAGCACTGTAGGAGATTCTGATAATGAGGTAAAGTTAAGAGCTATATTGGCTCTGTGTGCTTTCTTAGACCTTAGATGAGAAAGGACTTTCAGTTTGGTTCCGAACTCTGAGTAATTAACAAGATGTGGTTTGAATATAGAGGAATTTTAGACTGAATCTGGGATCTTTGGAAATGAATTCTATGATAGATGCTTGTCATGACAGAATAAGAGTTGTCAAGAACTAGTAAAAAGAATGTAAAACTAATGTGAACAGAGGAAAGGAAAATATAGAATAAGAAAACCACAAGTAAATCTAAAGGAAAGGTGTAATATAGAACAAGGTTTAAGAGAGAACAAAGAAAAGTGGTAGATGAAACACAAATATCACAGTAAACATCATAAAGAAAAGTAAATTAAATGTTTCCATTAAAAGAGTGTGTGTGTGGCTCAAGTGGGTACTTCTCTCCATTTAACCACCAAAAAACCTGAAGTGGAGCTGTGGCTCATGTGGTAAGAGTGCTAGCCTTGAGCAAAAAACCTTAGAGACAGTACCCAGGCCCTGAGTTCAAACCCTAGTATTATCACTACAAAAACAAACAAAAACTCCTAAGAAAATGCTGGGAGAGTGACTGAAGTGGTAGAACAATTTGTCTAATACACATTAAGGACGTAGGATCCCTTCATGGGACTTACAGGGAGCTTTCTCATAAAATGAACAGTATTCTGAATAAAAGAGGTTGAGATGGGTCTGGGAAGGTGGCTCAGTGGTAGAGCACTTGCCTTGTATGCATGAGGTCCTGGGTTCGATTCCTCAACACCACATAAGCAAAAAGAAAAAGCAGGAAGTGGTGCTGTGGCTCAAGTGGTAGAGCACTAGCCTTGAGCTGAAGAGCTGAGGGACAGCACCCAGGCCCAGAGTTCAAGCCCTACAACCAGACTCCTCCCCCCCAAAAAAAAGGTTGAGAACAGAATCTCTTGATCCCTGTGATGAAATACTGCTGCCCCTACTGGCCACTCGAGGTAATAGCCTTGACCATGCAGCTTTCAAGGCCACCACTTGGCAACAACAGTAATAAACAACAAACAAACAAAAAAAACATAGGTTCTGTGAATACAGAACAAAAAAATAGAAGCTGCATAGTCTTGTTGGACAGTTGAATTATCAGGATGGAGTAATGATTTTTATATTATAATATATCTAAACTTTCATTTTCTTTTACTTTTGCAATAATCAACATTATAGAGTTGCAATAACCATGTGTGCCACTTTCTACAATCAAGATTATCTTCATCTGCATCAATTAAGTGGCTATCCTACCAATAATGAGGGATGTATTTCTATACTATTTTACAGATGAGCAACCAAAGAAAGGTTATAAAATTCTAAAAGCCATATATGCAGGCCACACCCCAAGGCCCTGACCTTAACAACTATGTGCCCACTGCTCAGAGTTTAAGTTAACATTTTATATCTTACTTTATGAAACAGCACAAACACATACACAACTTCTAATTCATTCCCATATTTTCTTTTTTTATAATACTTTTATTGTGAAAATACTGTAAAGAGGGGTTACAATTACATGGGCAAGATAATGAGTACATTTCTTATCAAGCATTGTTGCCTCCTCCTTTGTTTCCCCTTCTCATCCTATCCTCCCCCCTCCCCCCTACCCAACTCTCCTCCCCCGCCACCAAAGTTGTAAAGTTCGTTTTCAACATAACGACTTGTACATCTCATTGTTGCAATGGGTCCACCTGTATCCCTATTTAAACGATTTGTTTTTCCCCTTCCCCTCCACAAATTATACCAACATCAAATACCATGAAAGCAGGGGTTATTCTGTGGGGGAGGGACATACAAAGCAACAAAAAAATAATCTTATAAATGTGTTAGAAACAATCGCATGAAAGAAACATTTGAATACATGTCTTAGGGTTCATTTCCCTAACATCAACTTATCTGACCTTTTCTGCTTGACTCAGACATATACTAGTTATTGCAAATAAGGGAAAACATGGGACCTATGTTTCTTTGGGCCTGGCTTACTTCACTTAATATAATTTTTTTCCAAGTCTTTCCATTTCCTAACAAATGGAGCAATGTCATTCTCATATTTTCTATATTTTTTAATGGTAGTGGTTAGGTAGACTCAAGACCAGGTTAAAACTACTGACATGAGTTATACAAGTACAGGGTCAGATCAAGTTTTGTGTGTGTGTATGTGTGAATAGGGGGTGTAGGTCTTGAACATGGGGCCTGGTCACTGTCCTTGAGCCTCTTTGTCTCTTTGTGCTCAAGGCTAGTGCTCTACCACTTGAGCCACAGCACCACTTCCAGTTTTTGAGTGAGTAATTGGAGATAAGAGTCTCATGGGGACTTTTCTGCCCTCAATAGCTTCGAATTGTGGTCCAAATAGCTCAGCTTCCTGAGTGGCTAGGATTATAGGCATGAGCCATGGGCACCTGGCTTAGATCAAGTTTTGATTTAAAATTTTATTATTTTGTTCAATATGGATTATTGCATTAATAATAATATCATTTACCTTGAGTACCAAGTTTTGGCACTCTTCAGTTTTACACTTGAGGACTTCAGGTCAACAGTTCATATACTGCTAAATTACTTTTAATAGATCCTAAATGGTTTTGTTATAAGTCACACAAAAAAAGCCAAATAGAAATACTATTTGAAAACATGGAGCAGGGTACCAGTGGCACACGCCTGTAATCCTACCTATAGAGGAGGCTATGCCAGCCTGGGCAGACAAATTAAGAGACTTTTATCTATAATTAACCAGCAAAAATGGTGGAAATGGTGGGCTTGACTCAAGTGGTAGAGTGTCAGCCTTGAGTGAAATAGCCAACCAACAGCTTGAGGCCCAGGGTTTATGAGTGCAAGCCTCCATACCAGCACATAACACCCACCACACCACACACACACACACACACACACACATACATTCAATATTCCCAATGTATAAAATTCATAAAATCATTTCTTTAGTTTTTCATCAGGAAATACCCTTTAAAATGATACAGAATGATTTGGAACATTGTTTTCCAAAGAGACAAGAGAATTAAGATTTATTCAGAACCTATTGAGAGAGT